ACGCCGGTCAACGCGTAACCCTAGGTCAACGCCAGTCAACGCGTTGCGACCAAAAAGTCAAAGTTCGACTCCCGAAACCCTAAGGTCAACGCCGGTCAACGCGTAACCCTAGGTCAATGTCAGTCAACGCGTTGCGATAAAAAGTCAACATACGGTGATCTGAAACCCTAAGTCAACACAATATGACAGAGATAGTCAATTCAAAGTCAACTCAATGACACGAGCCAATCTCAACCCACTAGTGATAGACTCGAGATTCCGACGACGGCCAGGCGATAAACGCACCGCCGGAAGAACTTCAGTTATTCGTCAAAGCATCGAATAGACCGAAAATCGAAGGAGCCAAGAGTTGAAGCTAACTACAAGTCCTTTACACCGACTGAAGGCTAGACCAATCACATCCAAAGTATTCCAGCCTCTTCTATAAAAGAAACGAGTCCGGAACGCTTTAGAGGGGGTATCTGTAGGCATTGAAAATTACCTATAGGTCTCTACGAACAGCTCAGTGTTGAGGAATGACGATGAACGTCACTATCCGGTTCACAGGAGTTCGATTGATGTCGGTGAACGCTTGAAGTGAATCGACGAACTATGTGAGCTGATAGAATTCCGGAATAACGAAGGTGCGGGCTAATCAGGAGCCCCGCAATGTTTACAAAGGGAACAATGCCCTTCGTGTCTCATTCATTCTACAGATAATCCAACCATCGGAGCTGATAGAGCTCCTTGTCGGGTTTCCAACGCATTTGGAATCACTCAGATCCGGGTTCAGATAAAGAAGTTATAGCGAAAACAGTCAAATGGGCATTGAAAACGTCTCAGAGCTGAACCGAGGCACCAAGGGTGTCTCGGCCAAGTCAAGACACCCCAAGGGTGTCTCAGCCAAGCCAAGACACCCCTAGGGTGTCCCGAGACACCCCAAGGGTGTCTCAGCACGGATTTGATCCCTTTAAGTGGTTTTAACCGCTCCGCAACCCCTCATGCCTATAAATACAAGCCTTAGGCCTCATTTTTTTGGGATCTGGAGTTTTGGAGAATTGGCGAAGCCCTGCCGGAGTGAAGAGTGATCGAGCACTTCAACGCAAGAGAGTTTCTTCGTCAGATCTACATCACCCGTACCCGATCTTTAGTATTATCCCGTTGTGGTAATACTAAGAAGAGCAAATATCTCGCTTTTATCGAGATAGGCGCTTCAAGTTTCTAGATCTCCTCGCGGATCGACGAAGCTCTGGATCAGATCTGATTGCCAGGTAGTCCACGGATATCGACGTCCCCGTCACAGGCTAAAGACCCACGCAAGCAAGAGACGACGAACGGATCTTGTGTTTATTTTCAAGAAAGTTGTAATCTTTATTTCTTTGTTGTTTGAATTCATTTGTAACGTTTAAAGTTTTAATGAAATCAATGGTGAAGGCAACTTTCGACAAAAACACCACCATTAAAGATCCAGTATCTTTATACTGTGATAATAATGCTGCAATAGCTCTGACAAAGTAACCCCGATCTCACCATAAGTCCAGACACATTCTGAGGAAGTATCACTTGATCAGGGAGATAGTTGATCGCCGGGAGATCAAGATTGAAAGAGTAGACACAAAAGATAATATAGCAGATCCATTCACAAAGGCAATTGCTCGTACACAATTTAAAAAACTTGTTGAGCTATTGGGTATTAGATACTATAATGATTGGCCTTAGTGTAAGTGGGAGTTTGTTAGATATAGGTGTCCTGCAGGCAATAATTGTATATTGTAACAGTACCTATATGAATATAACATCATTGTTCAAAATAATAGTATGTTATTTTGGTCAGATTTATCTGATATTTTCATACAGATAAAGTCCTTAGAATGATACCAGACTATCAGACATTTCGGATATGATCGTAATGAAGAGATCTGATTTGTCGTTAACGTATATTCTAAAATGTTCCTAGTTAATGAAGTGTTAAAATGAGACATCATCACTTTGGGAAGACTAGTGTATACTCTATTTCTCCTTTGGTAGGATGATGATCCATCTCTTGGATCATTGATGTGAGACATCAAGATATAGTATACAGGTGACTCATTAATGAATGAGTTGACTGAACGACTCACTGAGAACATCTAGTTGGTAATTATATTTAACTGTCAAATAGAAGTTCTCAAGTGATATAGTACATAGTAGTCTCTTGACCTGAGGCATGAGTGCAATATCTTACATGTCAGTATAGGTGTACTTAGACTTTTACCTAACCACAGTTCTCATCGAGTTGTGTATAACGGTTCTTGTTGGGTACATCCCGAGGCATAAGTAGATATTGAGATGCTAATATGGGATTCGTCTCTCCCAGTATAGGGGGTTAATGTCATAAGAATGTTTGATATAACTATAACCTAGAAATCTTTGACCGAGGTAAATAAGATAAACTGAGTGTCAGTTTGATCTTATAGGTTATGAGTTTAATATCAACAAATACTAATTGAGCAATTAGGGTTTGACAGTTTTTCATACCCTAGGCTCAATAGTTTGACATGGGTTGACGAAGAGATCGGACTGTACGACATTATCACTGAGTGGTCCTGATAAAATTGGATAAGCATCTTGCAGACCTTTATCACAACTCATACCCGGATAGTCTTCATGTGCAGCTAGAACCTCTGTTGTACTTGTGGATATGATCCACTACCGAGTCTTATACGGTATTATCATTGAGTGGTCCTGATAAAATTGGATAAGCATCTTGCAGACCTTTATCACAACTTATACCCGGGTGGTCTTCATGTGTAGCTAGCACCTCTGTTGTACTTATGGATATGATCCACTACCGAGGTTTTTGAGTTGGGCCCTAGAGTCACACCAAGCGCGTACTTGAATCCTATGAAACACAATTTATAGAGTGATATGTATGATTGATACGCATATATGATTTTTTTTACCGGATACACATAAACGGTTATGTATATCGGTAAAATCAGAATGCTATGTGCTTAGGAAATGAATTCCAGTATTTTTCCCATAAAGTTAACTTTTAGTCAACTAGTTGACTTTTTGGTCAACAGTTGACTTTTGGTCAACTCTTGATTTATTTGGTCATATAGTGACTAATTAGTTAAAGATTGGAATAATACTATATACCGTATTTATGAAATACTGTATTAGTGATAATAATTTGGTATTCTCATTTATGAAATACACATACCATGTATAATGAGTCATGAGATGAGTCACTTAGTGGTATGGTTTGAGCACATGGTTTATTAGCACATGGTTTTGATATGTAATGATTCATAAGATGATTCATTGCATGACTCACTTGATTAATCATTAATTTTTGATGATTCATTGCATGACTCATAGGATGAGTCATTCATGTCATGAACACATTTCACTCTATAAATATGAGCTCTCTCTCTTCATGAAAGGCTAATGAAATTTAAATTTCCATAAGAGAAAACAAGAGAGCTATATCTCTTACTAAACTCTAGCAATCTTTGAGTAAGAGGAAGTAGTAGGATTTTAAGAACCCCGGGGTGGATATCTTGCCCCGCGTCTCAAACAGCATCCAATAGCTTTCGGGTTTACTTAAAGAGTTGGAGATCCACTACGAGGAGTTTTCTGCATCAAAGAGAGCAAGCTAAAGGTTGTTCGATTCACTATCGAATCACGCTACAAAAGTATGACTTTCAAACCTTGTATGCTCTCTCAACAATAAGAATCATGTTAGATTTAATTAGACGGTCCATATGAATATTTCATGCTCTCTACATGCTTAGTATTTTTTTTCATACATGTCTTCCGCTGTGTATTTTACATGTAGACATAGCACGATTTCCTTCATATAGTACCCAGAGAATATGTGCAGCAAATAAAATCTTTATTAATATTCGGTAATATAACATAAATTGTATTGGATGCCTATGGGCATTACTATTACTACTCTAGCAAATCTCGGCCGAACTTTGATGGCTTCGCATGAGGATTCGAGACTGAAGTCATCTCCACTTCGACCCCACAAGCGGACCCAACATACACCAAGCAAACCCCTGGAAATATGCCGACCAATGTGATCTCGGTCCCACCCAATGGTGAGCATAAGGAAATTCAAACCCCAACAAGGTAGTGGGAACCTCCCCAACAATCTCATCTCGGTCCCACCCAATGGTGAGCATAAGGAAATTCAAACCCCAACAAGGTAGTGGGAACCTCCCCAACAATCTCGCAGCACCCGGTGTTGAGGTGATTAATATATGAGTATAATCTCACATCAGATAAGATAAAAAAAAGTGATGAGTTTAAATTGGAGTTTGAGTCAATACCTAATAACTATAGCTTTTAGGTTAAAAATTGACTCCAAACTTCTGTTTAAGAGCCATTAACTCTAAATTGGGTCCGATTTCTCCCCCAACACCCAATGGGCAAATTCAGCAACATTTTAAACCCTTCTCTGTACTATTCTTTGTACTCAAAAAGAAAATTGGAGTAGGATCAACAAATGATTTTATGATTAAGATGACAAGATACACGAACATGCATAGTCTTTAAATGACCAACCTAATACTAATAGGAACACTAACAACGACAACGGCTACAAGTTCCTCCTACTCACTAAATGCCAAAACCCCCACACATCATCAGAACCTAAAAGCCTACATCAGATGACATAATAATACAAACCCAACAAAAAGCGGGACGTGTCTCAGAAGCTACAGCATCACAAGGAGAGAACAAACTTCCCAATTTCATTTCCACGGCATGTTGTTAACCACCCCTTGCTGACTGCTATTGTTGCATGTGGTGCGCGTGCTCTGGTTTATCGGGCTCCCTGGACCACCAGAAGATTCGCTCAGCGTGCCTCGTGACGGTGGGCTGTTGGTTTCTGTCATGGGCACGGGCATGGGACTGGGCCCAGGCCTGAGCCCACTGCTGGCAAGCTTCCCCGGGGCGCAGGAAGGATCCATGGAAAAAGTTTGCTTCGGCTCTTTCTTTCCTTCAGCAATGAAACTGCCCACCACCACCTACAGTACAGGATTTCTATGGGGTTAGATGCGACAAATTGTCTTTTACTGAAGGGCTAACCGCAGATATACCCAAGTTCTGTTCTCCGTAAACTATTTTATTGCCACTTCGACCCCCTTGAACTTCACATTATTTCTCCAGTTCGGTTGAAATGTCACTTGGGAATCACCTGACGATAAATTTGCCTTTTGCCATATTTTTAATTGAAAAAAAAAAGGCTAAATTTACCTTTAAATAGAGGAACGAAAAGTAAAGCCGTCTAAGGTTCAGAAGGACTAAATTCCTTGGAATGTCTATTTATAGCAATTTCTTCTTGATCATGAAAAAAAAGGTCTTGTATTAACCGAGGTATTTTTATTATAAGCAGAAACTGACCTGTACAGGTGATGCAGCTGTCAGAAGTCCTGCCACTCCGCCACCTAAGACACGACCATCAGGACCGGCCAATGAAACACTGAGTCCACCTGTACGACTACGATGGCCTCCGCTCTCTGATAGCAGAAATGACCCCGACAGAGACAAGATTTCAAAACGACCCTACATATTCAAAACACAAAAAAGACCTGTCAACAAAAGGATGAACTTGTTTTACAAGCATATAAGGGAACTATTTGATGAAGTATGTTAACTTGCCTAATTTAACTTAATTCTAGACAATTTATACATACACTTTTGACCTAATTCAACTTCGGATAACAGTCAACCTTTGACCACTCTAGTATCTGTTGAAGATTACTATTATCATATATGCTTATCAGCCTATGCTAAACATTAATTATAAAGCTCATTTGCTGGTGTTAAAAAAACTTTCAAATTCTATTAACTTCAACGGATGAACTTCATTATAAAACTAATGTGTATGACCTAAATGAACATACATGTGGAGTGTAATAAGTATTGATATTGAATATGCAAATAATTATCAGTCAGAGAACAGATTGGGTCACGCAGGTCTATTGGAGAATCCAAGACTCAAATGATGGAGTCAGTTACAGCCTTAAAAGGTAATATTATATATTATACTTGTTATGTGAAGAATTGCTAGATTATAACCCTAGTCAGCATATGACATGAGGACATGTATCCCAATATATAGCAGGGGCAGAACTGACCTCATAAGTTACAGTACCACCAGAAGTTGCTGCCTGACGAAGAGTCACATTAGATATGGCACCATTTGCTGAAAGAACGCATACTGCACGTGGTCCATTCTGCGAAAATGACATGATCTTCGATGATACATCCTACAATACGAGAAAAAAGGTTCAGCAACTTGATGCCTTGAACTTCAGGATGATGTAAAGTCAAAGAGATCTTTCATGAAACTTCCTAACATATATGATTATAATTCGACAGGACAGGTAAAATTAATTAAAACATCTTTTAACTTTTAATACAAAAGGCTCAAAAATCGTTTTCTATACTCAAGTTTTTTTCTTCTTTCTTTCTTCCTTTCCTTCTTTTTTAATTGGCATGGGCAAACAATTGTCACAGGTTTTAACGCTTGGTCCGTAGGCTATCCCGGTTTTAACAATAAGAAAAGTTGATGCAGGACTGGTTTGACTCTATAAATGTGAAATAATAATATGAGTAGAGTAAATAATTGATTAAGACTTGAAAAAAATATCAGACACAGAAGTGAGAATGTGGAGAAGAATTAACTCAGCATGTTTGTATGTTTGTTTTGCAACTTTTTATAAACAACTGACAACATATTGAATGTAGCTTTCAGATTAATGTTTGGCAAATCAGATTTAAGTTATAGAAAGATAATAAATTTACTTTGTACACCTTGCATATTCTGGATAAGTAGTATCTCAGAAACAGTCAAAGGAAAAGATTATTCACAACATAACAATATACCATATAAGAATTGACGACAAGATCAAAATAAAAATGAAACTAAAAAACAAAAAGACAAAAGGATAATGAGATCGATCTTAAAGTAAACAAAAAGAGAAAATATCAAGGTAGAAAGCATTACAAGGCTACAAAGCTACAAGCTGGTGAAACAATAGTTATTAACCAAAACTACTGGGATACATGCCAGCTTGACTCTACGTAAGATTATATCACACTTAAATACAACCCTCATCTCAGAGCAGACGGAAAATATAAGAAGAGTTGAAAGTCAGAAATGGAATGTCTAGATCATGCGGAGTTGATAGAGATTCTATATTCTCAGAGTCAACATCTTAGAGAAACTCATCATGAAAGAAGCAACATTTGACTAGTTCATGAACTGATCAACAAAATTTTATGCCTTTCTAAGATTATTAACTTCTTGTAGAAATTCGACATGGATAAGTAGTCTACCATAAGCAAAGATCTTATGTAACCGGTGACTAACATTTTTATGATAAAAAATTTTGGCAGTTGAACCCATCAATCTGGATCTATTTCCTTTACAATAATTCAATTGCTCAAATTTCAAGTCCACAAATGAAAATTTTGTGGGCAATTATAGAACTCATATGTAATGGGTAAAGCGTAATAAATTGTCAGTGGCAATTAAAAGGAACTCATACACCTCCATTGGACGCAACAAACAGAAAATGGATTAAAACCACTGCTTAGAAATTTAACTTATAAACAAAGGCATCAAAGAATGTTGACTACTTGACTCTATCAAGTGAAAAATGAGTAAATGAAGACATCAGTGAATGTTGACTCTATCAAGTAAAAAATGTGTAAATAAAAACATCAAAGATTGTTGACTCTATCAAGTAAAAAATGACACTTTAATAAGCAAAAAAAAAACATCAAGTGCAAATTATACGCTATGTCAATACCAAATTGCTGATCCAATAACTAATTAGATCATCAGAAAATTTAATTTCTGCAATTAAAAGTTCTAATCGGAATTGGCAACATAGAGATGAATTGCACATAAAATCTACAGATCAACTTATGATCTCACAAATAATCATAAAAGAAAACCTTGTCATAAATGCAACAACCACCGTTGCTACCAAAAAATAGAGAATCTTTTCACTCTAATAAAAATCTTGGGCTGTGATATTGAATACAACATGAATTCGCAATAGTAAGTCTCATATGAATAATGTTGTACATTCTGAACATCTACTTTTCAGCATGCAATAGAAGAAACCCATACCTCTCCGGCCTTAACAGTGATAACATGCGGGGTAAATCCAGTACCTGCTGACCCTGCAAATAATTCTCTAAGAATTTTAAGACATAATTAAAATGCAAAATCATTAAAAAAACACACCAGCCAATCAAGCCAAAAATCCAATGCGACAATAATAATCATCCAACAAAAATCATTAAAAAAACACACCAGCCAATCAAGCCAAAAATCCAATGCGACAATAATAATCATCCAACAGAAAAGAAATTCAATAACAAGAAGCAGTCTAGTTTACATTTTAAGAAGAATCACCTGAAGAGAACTAAATCAGTAAAAATATCCATTTGCATCCAATATAATTTCGTCATTAAAAAAAGAAAGATTTAAATTAATATCTGACCAACAAATTCAGCAGTACAAAATTATTTAATTTCAAATGCTGGCAAGCAAACGCATGCAAGTGCTTGAATAATAGTTTAGCGAGCGACTTCATTCATTTAGCACTTACTGAACAATTTACAAATCTTCAGAAAACTCTATTACCTTTAATGTCTAGATACTTTACATTTAGCACTTACTGAACAATTTACAAATCTTCAGAAAACTCTATTACCTTTAATGTCTAGATACTTTATTACCATAATAACATGATCATGGTACAAATCTTCAGAAAACTCTATTACCTTTAATGTCTAGATACTTTATTACCATAATAACATGATCATGGGCACGGAAGTAATTTTGTTACCCTGCAATTCCTACATGTCAGATTTACCAGAATAATCATAGTCCTCATAACAACAAATATCTCAGTTTCTGAAGGCTCTCTCTCCACCACATCACTCATAAGTAAACCCAAGATATTAACTGCAATAACAATAACAATAACTCAAACAATTAAGGCATTACACGCAATACAGAAAACTCCATTACATGACAAACCAAACATAGCAATAAAAAGGCAGGTGCTAAGAGATTACCAAGAGCAGCCATCTGCATCTTTCTTCCCGAGCCAGGGTCAGCCGAGCCGGACACGCCCGGAGCAGAAGAAGGAGAGAACCCTCCAGCCCCCGAAGTTGGTGGGCCCGCGGAAGGAGGCGAAACTGGGATCAAGGCGAGAGCCATGGTGCCATCTGGCCCATACTTCCTCGGCCTCCCCCTCTTCCTTTTGACAGGCTCACCCATATTGATGCTAAGCCCATGAGGAGGAGGGATGGCCGGAGATGGCCCATTACCGCCTCCGGTGGGCCCACCACTGGTAGGGCCATTACCACCACCACCACCACTAGCTCCAACACCTCCACCACCTCCTCCTCCTTGATAAGATGGAGGTTGAGGAGGGGGAGAGCTAGTTGCTATGGGTTTATAGACGGCGGTGCCATCGGGAGTGAAGGTTAGCCGCATGTTGTGCATTGACGGCGGAGATTGGACAGTGGGCTTCTGCATTCCAACGGAAAAGGGTTCCCTATTGGCCACAACCCCAGTTTCAGATCTCACTTCCATCCCTCAAAGGAGCAAACTTCACATACCACAACCCCAAATTCTAACTATCGTAGCAGCCCAAAACCAAGAATTGGGAGTAATTCAGAGATGGAAAGCAGTGAAGAAGGAAAAGAAGGGATTTTTACAGAGCAGACCAGCTCAAACCCTTGAATTTTTTTATAAAAAATACCTAAAGATTTGAAGCGAGAAAAGAAGTGGAATCACGCTTAGAAATGGAAATTTTTGAGTGTTCGCACTAAACATTTACATTTCAGCTATTTTTCCTAACAGTGACGAGGGGGAAAAAAAGGAGAGAGAAGGGTGAGCAAAGGATTGTTACAGGAGAGATCTCCTTGAACAAACTTGAAATGAGCTGAAATCAACAAAACCCTAAACCCTAGTCTCCAAAATCCATTTTTTTCACCTTAAAGCTATAAAAACAACAAGAAAACACAGTTTACAGCGCACTACTACGAAAAGAAATAAAACCGAAACAATTAAAAACCTAGCTCCAAATAAGTCAAAAAAAAGTCCTAAATCCACAAAATGCCCATAAACACCCACAGAAATTAGAACACCAAGCCACAATTTCCTCTCCAAAATTCCTCCTTTCTCCGAATTTCCCACGAATTTCGAGAAATCGGCGGTAATTTTGGAGAAATAGGCCGGGAAATAAAGAAAAATAGGGAAGATGGAAAAAATTGGGATTTTTTTTAGAGAAGAAAAGGAATAAAAACACTTAACCCTTGTCTGAAGGAGCTTTTCAAAAGATTCAGACAATGAGGCGAATTTGGAGGAAATCGATGTAATATTCGCAATTATATAAATTTTCTCTCTCTAAACTCTTTTTCCTTTTTTTTTCCCTCTCTTTTTTTATTTCCAAGAACTCTCGAGGGGCGAGAGTAGGGTTTTATTTAAAAATTATGAAAAAAAGGCAGATAAAGCGAAATTGCTTTCAAACAAAAAATAATAAATAAAATATAATTAAGAAATTTTACTAGAAGCCCCTATATTGTTTTGTTAAGTACTCTACAAATCTCTAATTGAGGTTGAGAAACAATTATTGATACTTTGCTTTTGCTCTTTTTTTTTTTTTAATTGACAATGTGATGGCTCTTTGACTCGTATATCACTGCAATTCATTCATTGCGTTCACATCTTTCTTTTTCGATTGAGATTTTTAACTAACCTTTTCTATCCATATCTAAGCAAAAACATTTTTCAAAATATTTAATTTTGGCTTGACATAAAATAAAAAAGAAGAGTACATTTTTTCATAATTAACAAAGTCATATGCATGCCCTAATGAAACCTCTATTTTTTTAACAATTATAAGCGTAATATTTTTATAATTTTACGTTTTCATTTTCTATAGTTATAATTGACATCCTCTATTTTTAGCTAAAAATATATATGTATATCCTTTAATTTATATTAAAATATATTCTAATTTGTTGAGGTACTTGGGCTAGTTTTCTATGAGAAAAATAAATTTGAAATCCAGCATAATTGTAAAGTACCTATTTCCTTAATTTTTAGTGGTTATACACTAGTGCCTAATTTGAATTATAATATGGGACATGATTAGAATACAAGGTGGCATTCTAATTAGTACCCATTAAGCATAGATATTATACATAATCAAACGCCAATTATACGCATGCTAACAAGCCAATAAAAAAGTTAGCAATAGAAAACAAACAAAATTGGTTAACCTACTATAGCAGGTTAAAAGTGGATTATTAATAAAATTAGTGGAATTAAACATTGTTCTCCCTGTTAGTCTCTCTAAATTGTATAGTTTAGTTCAGACTTTTTTGGCGTGATATTATAGTAATGACAAGAAGCTTATCTTTCATTTAAAAAAATAATGTATTGTTAATTGATTAATTATTAATATGAGTGTTCAGATGGATAACTATGAAATCTTTTTTACAAAATTTGGACCACATCCTTGGGAAAAGCCTAATTTTAAGAAAAGAATCTTTTAATGAGGGTAGGAAAAAGATGTTAATGGACAATAATATTTTAAAAAAGCGGTGGTGGAAATTAATACCACCCTTACTTTTTTGAGCTGAGCTAAATAATCATTGACAATATTCAAATGCTGATAATAATAATTCAAAGAGTAGTTTTACAAGGACCATTTTTATGGGACAATGGGAGGGGACATGTGAGGTGTCCCCTCCCCATTGCTTGACGCATGAACAGTGCGTCAATCAATGGGGAGGGGACACCTCACCTGTCCCCTCCTCCTGTCCTATAAAAATATTCCCCAATGCATTTTCCTAATTCAAAATCTAAAACTTGAATTTTAAATTAAAAATTTAGAACTATTAAATGTAGTGCAAATGCAATGTACACTTGTTATCTAGACACTAAATTTTCAACAATCTAGAATATTTTATAATATGGTATTAAGGGATAAAAACGTTTTTGTTTAATAAAACTTTTGAAGCATTGTTTTTTGGGAAAATGTGTCGGGGCCCCAAAAGCTGAAAAATCATGTGACGAGGCCCCTTGTATTTTCCCCCTTGTGTATAAGCCCTAAAAAGCAGCCTTTAATATTTCTAGGGTCCTCCACATCAGCTGTATACAGCCAGAGGCATTGTATTTTGAAAAAACCCGACTTTGCCCTTCTCCTTCATCCCCAGACGCTTCGTCACATCTCATTAAATGGACTGGACTCGATTACGGCGCCTCTTTTTCAAGAACCCCGCCTCTATTTTTACTTTCTTCCAAAATACAAAAGAGCCACCGAAACTCTCGAATTTCCATTTCCAGCGACGGAGTTTATTTTCGCGGGCTAGGTTTTTCGTCGGAAAATGTCGTCCAGGGAAGCAAAATCGGTAAATGACTACGAAATCTCTCATCGCGGCGATTTGAAGGAAAAAGACGGTTCGTCTGGGGTTGGCAGCGCAGAGGAAGCCACTCAAACCCTCATGGTAATGCAAAAGCAGGCCCTAGAATGGCGAAACCGCCAAAGAAGAACGGCAAGGGCCCCCCCCCCCCCAGAAAAACAGTAAGTGCTAGGTTATCCACTATTTGGGGTTTCGAAGTTATCCACTATTTGGGGTTTCGAAGTAATGTGCCCTAATGTTAGTGCTAGGCAATGTTAGTTCTAGTTTGAGTCCATGTTAGTTCTATAACAGTCGCCGTTAGTTCTATTAGATGCAGTGCTCTAATGTTAGTGCTAGGCAATGTTAGTTCTAGTTTGAGTCCATGTTAGTTCTATAACAGTCGGCGTTAGTTCTATTAGATGTTGTGCCGTAATGTTAGTGCTAAGTAATGTTAGTTCTAGTTTGAGTCCATGTTAGTTCTATAACAGTCGACGTTAGTCCTATTAGATGCCGTTTAGTGTTAGGTCTAATTCAGTTCACGTTAGTTCTAATTGAACTTGAAATTTTTATTTTTACAGGAAAAGGCTTGCTGAAAATAACCCGTTTGAATCATTAAGGCTAACCGTCAATATCACGGGTTATTGGCAATTCATGAAGTGTATTGCTCCGAAGATGCGTCAGTGTCACAGGGATGCATATCGCGGATTGATATTTCAGCACTACATTTTATTCGGGGCTCTTGCGCCTGATCGCCCCACGCTTGAACTGCTGCTGAGTTATTATGATAGCGCCAATGACACATTTTCTATCCCTGATTCAAAGACTGGGGGCTTGAAAGTGTTAAATTTGATTTGCAATGGGTCCATAACCATACATACTTCCCAGCTTATGGGGAAGTCATACAGAATCTGGTTGCAATACTTCGCTCATCTTTTCAAAACTGAAGATGGGAAGAAGTTAAAAAAAGCAACAATTACCCATCGAAGATACCTTGAAGGGCAGCTGGAAAGGCTCGTGGAGTCTACAGAAGAAGAGGATATCCAAGATTTTGTTCTGCTGCAAATTCTGTACCAATGCTCTATGATATGGTGCCCCAGAAGCGGGGAGGGTATCCCCAGACCTCTACTCAGATATCTGGATAGCATTGAGAGGGTCAAAACGATAGCTTGGGCTCAATTCTTTTATTCAGAAATTAACAGGGGGATTAAAGTTGCTGTGGAGTGCAAGAAGAAGCCAGGGGTCACATATGTCCCAGGTTGCATGACACTTTTGTGTGTAAGTGCCATGTTTTACTCAATTTGGTTCATTCTAGCTCTGATTCATGCCATGTGAGTTCTAACTTATGTCACGTTAGTTCTGACTTCTGCTATGTTAGTTCTACTTTTTACCACGTTAGTTCTAGTTTCTGCTCATGTTAGTTCTAGCCGTATTCATGTTAGTCCTTATTTGGGTCATGCTGCTAAGCCTTAAATGGCACCATGTTAGTTCATAATTGGGTCACGTTAGTTCTAATAAAGTTCGGTTAGTTCTATTGCATCTCACCTTAGTTCTAATAGGAGGCACGCTAGTTCTAGGTTCTAGTTGGGGTCACAATAGTTCTAACAGAGTATCTGTTTGTTAGCTCTAATTTATGCCTTGTTAGTTCTGATTTGAACGCTTAATGTATTTGCTTTAGCTTTGGTACTATGAGATGACGGGGTTAAAGAAATATGCCTACGTCAATAAGTCCATACCTCCAATGACAAACTGGGTATCAGAAAAGGAGGTGAAAGTCTTATATTTGAGGGCGAGGACCGTTGCATTGAAGGCTAAATCAGCTTCAATAACTGAAGTTGATCGGCCTGTTGTGGAAGTTGAGCCTGCTCCTTCAAAGGTTGTTGCACTTCCCTCCATTCAAGGGAGTGAAGGAGTGCGTCATGTGCCTAAGTTAAAGAGGAAGGCGAGGGCGGAGGAAACGAAGAACTTCTCAATAGGCTATGTAAGTATCATGTTAAGTCTAAGTTGTCTAAAGCTAAATGTAAACAATATCCATGTATGTATAATCCTATTTTATTATAATATAATCTCTTAATAATTTCAGATCATGTCAAAACATATTGACAATGCTTTTGAAGATGAAGAGGAGGTGAAGGATCTACCCATTGAGCAGCAACTTACCTTTTGAAAAAATTCTGCTAAATT